ATTTTGGGCTCAATTATAGTAGTAAGTGAAGGATTACCTTTAACTGGTCTAAAGTTACTTAGTTAATTTAATTATGGAGTTGGGATTTGTGAACCTGTGACCATAATAATAATTATTCATTATTTATAGATTTATATATATTAGACAATATTCTTTATGATTCTTTGGGCTTCAGTAAATGAGCTTCATCTTCTCAAATAAGACCAGATTTGCTAGGATTTCTTAGGTAAATCGTATTTCAAGCTCTGGCATTTCTCATGGTTTGTCAATTCTAGAATTTAATTTCTAGAAATCTGTCACTTTTTAAATTAGTTAATAATGTGTAAAGCAAATATAAATTAATTTCAAAATAGCAAATTTTGCATTACCTTTTCAAATAAGGTCAGATAAGGAAGTGATATGCCATGCTATTCTTACAAAAAAAAAATTCAAAGAAATTACTGTGTTTTCAGAGAGGAGAAATGCTGTGATTGTTGAGTTTTATTTGTTGTGTGAGCAAGAAAAGATATCATGGGGGAAGTGAGAAACCCTTCTCTAATTACCCTACACAGTGATAGGGGTTTCTGAAAGGATTATAGGCCAAGAACCTTTCTAAGTACTGGGATGTTGTTACAGCTAAATCAAAGGTAACCTGCAAAAAAAAATAATCCTGTCAACAGGTGAGGAAAAGAACAGGCCAAATAAGGAGTTATGCATCAGGTATTAGATACAAAGTTATTACAGCTGAAAGGTTTAGGTTAAAAAAAAGAAACCTAATCTCATTGGTTTCTTTAGAGTTTTGGTGGGATAGTTGCTGAAACATTTAGAAGGAGAAGAACTGGACACACTGGCTGACAGATTGATATGGTTGAAATGATAGCAGAAAGATAAGGAGCGATGGGTGCCTTTTTATGAACAGAATCCTTATAGCCATCAAACAACAACACCTTACAAGGAACAGAATTTCCATGGCTAAGCTAAACGGTTTATAAGGGAGTAGCACCCGATTTTACAATATTTTTGGCATGGTTGTTAAGCAAAATCACTGCAGCTGTTAAGTAAATCATGCAGGCATTAAACAAATCCGGCTTCTCCCACTGACTTTGCTCATCAGTAGCCAACTGATGCAAATGGAGGTCACATGACTCCAAGATACTGCAATCATTAAATAAATACATGGTGGTTGCCAAGTACCTGAATTTGGATTGTGTGACCAGGGGAATGCTGCAAGAATCGTAAGCGTGAGGACTGGTTGTAAATCAGTTCTTCCAGTATCATTGCAACTTGTAACTGCTGCTGAATGAATAATTATACATTGACTGTTTGTGTGTGTGTATAACCACACAGAGAGATATAGTGTTCAAACACCCCGCCCCCAAATTAACAAATAATTTGGTTCTAGAATCATTTTAGAAAAGTGGGTGCTGAGTTCACTTCTGGGAAATTCATATGGAGAGCATTTTTAAATATATTATTTGTTTTATCTCATGTTCTCTTTTGAACCACCAATGATATTTTTCATTTGCAGTTGCTTTTCAGTCTTCAGTATTAAAAGAATATTTCCCAACTTTTAGCATTTGAAATATAACTCCTCTGTTCTTCATTAGTCACCAGTGGCTTGTTGGTAACTATGGCCAGATAGGAACATGGTTTCTTGGGAAACCATTGGCAAATATAGAAAGGAGAACCCAGTTGAATCTACTATATCTAATGTCAAGATTGTATATATTTAAAATATTTACCTCATTTGATATCTAATATTAAACTGATATTAATAATACTGAATTAAAATTAAATTACAAATAAAATGAATTGTGCAATTAAAGGTGTTTGTCTAGTCCTTAGTCATTCTTATCAAGAAATGAAGCATAGATATTCCTGTTCTTATCCAATTTTATTACTGCAAATGTTTAGGAATAGGCCATTAGAGATCCATCACCACCATCAATAAATTCAAAGTTGAGCTGATCAGATAGATTTATGGAAGGCAGCGTAAGGCCAAGGTGCAACCTGAAGCTATTATACCCTGAGCAGTTTTGGGTGGCAAGCATGTCATATGTAAACAGACTGGTTTAACACACTATATAATGTCCCCGTTTGCTCTGCAGATGCTCGCGTGCACATACAATACTGATTTCAAATTTTGAAAGGCGCCGCTCATTTCTACTCGGGTCTCATTCTGCCCTTCTTGCAATGCCCGAAAAATACCTCCAGGCGGCTCAGCATGAATGCCGAAACGGGAACCGGCGCGGAACCCGTTTGCCGAAACAGAGCGGCGGAAATGAGCGCGGCCAGGAGCTTTCGGTCCCCGCTTTTGCTCAGCTAGGAAAGGTGCTGCACCAGAGCACCGGGCGGCCTCGGGGCCGAGGCTCGCCGGCGACGTTCTCGGAGGCTGCCGCTGCAGAGAAAGCGGCTCCTTATTTTAGAAGAGCGCTCTAAAACGCCCTTTGTTTACTTCGAATCCACCCGTCCGATCCTTCTCAGGGCAGGTATTTTGTCTATGTGAGAATTAAAAAAATATATATATATATTTACCGACACAAAGGGAAGATCAAAGGAAGATCAAACGAGGATGGTGGCGATTTGGACGTTGTAAAGCTCGTCAATAAAAGCGGCGAGGGAGCGCGACACGTGGGTCCCTCCCGCAGGTGCTCTGTTGATCCCGGCCCGCGTCCGCGCTTTCCTTTCTTCTGCTCGGGAGATGCTCACAATTCCATTTTATCACTTATTCCCGTCTTCAACTGGAAATCAGTCAATTGTTTAAATAGAAATTACTTTTCGTGTAACCATCCATGTTTATACAGTAAAGGGACTTTACAAACCTAGATTGTAGACTTTAAAGTCAGCTGTTCACATGAAGGTCCTTTTACGGAGTAGCAATATGGTATGTTTCCTAATATAGTAATGAAGTATGCATACTCTTCCCTCAAGGTGTGATTGCTCTCTTTTTGGATCTGTAAAGAAATAGCTTTCAGTTCGATATTCGTAAGATTTTCCAGGTGGCTTTGGGGGGAAAAAAGTATTCTGCCAATTTTGCGAGCACACAGAAAAAGAGGGTGGATATGAAAGAAAACCCATTTAACAGTCTAACAATCTAACTTTCCCCCAAAGTGACTGGATCTCCAACGTTCAGGGGAAACAGTGGCAGGGCTAAAATAGCTTTATTCCAAAGACTTTCAAGACTTTTCCATTTTTAACCAGTGTAATGGTATAATTTTTGACTGGGTTGGGTGTTTTATATCTATGCCAAAAATGATAGAAGTAGAAAATTCACTGTAACCATAAAATGTGTTTCCAAATCAATGCATAAGCTGGTCATCATCACTTCTTGCAAATAACTTCCACTACAATTTATTGACAAGTAATGAGGTAAGAAATAATGTCCAGTAGCAATGCTAATTTGTACGGCAAAAGCAACAATATGAGACTGAGATGCTGAAACTAACATATTTATTATACAGTAAACACTTTAACAAAGATTCCAGAATGAACTATGCCCTTAATGGTTCTTAAACATTTAGCAAGTAAGGAACATTAAATTGATTGCTTACATTCTAAATTAATGTAACATAAGTAATTTTGTTTATTGATTCAGCACAATCAAGGTTTTTTTTAAAAAAATCAGCACATCTTTTGACTACAATCAGTCACCTATAGTAACTGAAGATAGGGAGAACCAATTGAATATAGATTCATGTGTGTATCCTAATAATTCATCCAAGAGAATATTTTGATATAAATGTGATATAAAACTATATTTTTGTGCGTTTGGTCCATTATAAGATTCCATTATATTATTTTCTACTTAGTGAAAAGTGGAATATTTTATTACTTTATAAGAAATGTTACTGCAGTCAAAAGAATAGTTTCCTTTTGTATACATTTGTCCAGATATCACCATTATATGTAGTTTATTTCCTATGTTAACGGCAGGACCTTGAAGGAAGTTCATTATTGGAGAGTGAATCCTGGCAATCAAGGGGAACAAATAAGTAGATATGCCAATAATAATGAGAACATAATGATATAACAGAAGCAGTTCTAGTTGTTTTTAAAGAAATTATTTTCAATCACAGCACGAATTTCAAACTTAGAATCCCTCTCAAAAACTTGATTTTGAACTTTCTTAGTTTTTTTTTTAAATAGGAATGCTCTTTTGAAACAAGATGAAGAATAACAGAGGGATGGGGGAAATGAGTTTGTTTTATCTTTTGCCAAAATAATTCTCATTTCATATAATATTCTGAGCCCATTCTTCTAAAACATACACTTTTCAACCACTCCAGCACAAAACTCAGTATATACTTCCTTAAACTATGTTGGCTAAACTGAATGGTTCACCAGTGGCTTTTTCTTCACTCCTTCATTGATTTAATTGAGAGAGACCAGGTTTTTTTTCTCCTAAATAAATAAGCAAGAGTAAATAAAGGGTACTTCCCCCTCTCCTCTTCCAGAAGCATTGCAGTTTATTAGCAGACGTCTAAACTATAGACTGTTGTTTATGGTGCAATCCTGCTGTTTCTTGGAAGTCCTCTTTAACTCAGTCAGACTCATTCTCGATGAAATGCACAGCCTAACATTTCAAAGCTGTCCCTAAGGTGGGATTCTCCCAATCCCCACTTCAGAAAGGAAACCCGCAGAAAGAAAGGGCGGGGTTCTGTCTTGCGTGCGCTTCTTTGGACCACGGTCCCCTCATCTTCCAGGCAATGAGACAAAAAGGAGGGGCGGGGGACGGCGCCTCTGGGGGTGGGGTACTTCGGGTCGGACGTTGCCAAACGTTCCAGCCGACCCCCGATCGGCTAATTCGAAGAGCCACTCCTCTTCCTCCTCCTCCTCCTCCTCCTCCTCCTCCTCCTCGGTTGAGCCAGCCGACTGCCAAGGCAGGGAGGCTGGGCAGTGCTGATCGGCGCAAGAAGAGGGAAGGAGGCGGGAGAGGGGCTCCCCGGGAAAGCAAAATTCTGGGCGGGGATTGGACACCTGAGCGCACCTTTCTAGTCTTCAGATTCCTCGCCAAGTGGGGGATGAGCGCCAGCGATCCTCCGCCACCAGCGCTGTCCGCTCCCCGTTCGTCACCGACGGCTGCCGGTAGCCCTTTAGCTCCGTGGTCTCGCAGCGGCCGCGAGGAGCCTGCCATGGCCATCTACTGTAGCGAAGCCTTTAGCGTCTATCCGCAGACAGCCACCGCCGCTGCGGGCCCCTCGGGGCAGAGGCCTTCCGCTGCGACCTATGCGCTTGGCGACTATGGGGCACCGCCGGGAGCCGCCGGGTACCTGTGGGGAGTGAGTAGCGCTGGGCCCTACGTGCAAAGTACTGGCGGCGGCGGCGGCGGCAGTAGTGGGAGCTCGGGCGCGTCTTTTTTGCCCTACGGCTGCCCTCCCAGGGCCGTCGGGGGGCCACAGATCTTGGCTTCGCCCGGTCCTACATCGGGCTCTGGCTCAACAACCGAGCTGGGCTGGCTTAGCCTGGCTAGCCAAGAGGAACTGTTACGCCTGGTGCGACCGCCGTACTCTTACTCGGCACTCATCGCCATGGCTATCCAGAGCGCTCCGGAGCGCAAACTTACGCTCAGCCACATCTACCAGTATGTGGCCGAGAACTTCCCCTTCTACAAGCGCAGCAAGGCCGGCTGGCAGAACTCCATCCGCCACAATCTCAGCCTGAACGACTGCTTCCGCAAGGTACCGCGGGACGAGGACGATCCCGGTGCGTGTCTCCTCTCTCTTGGGCCGGGGTCGCGTGCGTGCGTGCGTGCAGAGGGCAGCGTAAGGCAGATTCCTGATCCCAGAGGGGATGCGGAATTATTCCGATTTCTTCTTAACGGCCGCGAGGCCGTCTAGATTGATGCTCCGCGCCCAACAGTATCTGAGCTATTGCAGCAGCTTCCAATGCTAGACAGATGAACTTGGATTCAGGTAGCGATAATTAAATATCATTCAAGCTTATCAGCTTCTAGCTCAGGCTACGCTGCTGTTTTTCACCAGCCCAGCCCCCTTAGATCAAGCAATTTAATCTCCCAATTAAGCTAGCTCAGGAACATCAAATCCCTTTTCTTCCGAGGTAATTCTGCTATAAAAATCAACTGAACCCAGTGGGCATCGTTTCTGAATAGATGTGCATAGGACTGAGCTTCTTGGATTTTTAGAACAAGGAGCCAACTTCTCAGATGACCCATTCTTACATTTCTAATTGCCCTAGCATACTTTGTATGGGATTGCCAGATTGCAATATGGTAAGTAAAGCTTCCAATCTGCTGCAGTGATTCAGCATTATTCTGGATTAATTAAAAGCATAGGTGATCAGGATTTGTGTGTGGTATGTATTCAGCATTCTCATTGTACATGCCTTAGAGCTAAGTTCTAATTTACTGAAATAGAGATTACTTCAGTCTTGAAAGGAGACTCTTTTCATTTCAAATGAACTGGTTCTAGATATTTAAAATCACTCTCATTCTTCTGCATGTTACAGAAAAACATGAATTGATTTTCCCATTCATGTACACCTGCATTGGATGTATTTGGAGGAAAGCAATTTTTGCAAAGTAACACTAGATATGTAGACTGAGATATAAGAATGTAGAATCAAATGCAAACTTGAACATTTTCTTTCTAAGTAATGAAATGTCTGCTGTGAACTGTCTTTGCATCTTGATCTCTATGGGAATGTAAGTGGTTACTTGTACTTTTTGCCTGTTTTCATTTTTAAATGTTTAGATTCACAGTGGAAGAAACTGCATATTTAAAAATATAATTGGCACATGGATATGCAGGAATTAATTGTTAATTGGGATTGATAGAAAAACAATCATACCCATGTGTTACCTATACAGTATTACCTATGTCACAAGTTTCTAGGCAAGATTATTGGAATAAAGATTGTGTCCTACATAGTCAACATGCAACATTCATTCTGTGATTATCCTTTTACTATAAAATAAGAAGCTTGCCATTAGATATAAATTGGAAATCTTCTTAACACTCCCAACCATTTGTGTGCAACATAAAAGTGGATTCCTCCCCTAGGTTTTTCCATTGATGTCTCCTAAAAAAAATCCCACAGATCGTCCTGAAAGTGCTTTTCCAAAAGACAACTGGCTTTTTCTTTGAAAACATTTTGCTTCTTATTCAAGAAGCCTCTTCAGTTCCGGTACTTTTAAAAGTTGCTATTCAGTTTCCCTTCACTGAGGCTGCATCCACAGAAGATGAGTCACAAAGAGCCACTTGGTTCTCACAGCTATCTTATGTTGTATAGGCACTCTCTTATTGCATTTCCTCCACCCAAGGCTTCTACACACAAACTTGTTGCTTCTAAATTACTGGTGAGAATCAATTTGGGCCAAATTAGATATGACAGTATTCTTGCATTTAGATGGTAGTTTGTAGAGTCAATTACAATGGAGAATAGGGAGAAGATTTTGATCATTTGCTCTTGTCCACATATACCACTATTGTTATTTACAAAAGATGCTTATGCAATTGCTGTGTGGATTAATACTGCCACACCTTATTTAGCCCCGAATCCTTGGATTTTTCTAAGGATCTTCTGAAGCTTATTGGAGCTTCTTCAGAAATTCAGCAGTGGTATGCAAGTTTCTTTGAAAGATGTTGCTTTCCATGACTAATATTCTCTTATGATATATGTCTGGAAAGAGCTATGTGTGTATATGCAAAGAAGTAAGTGTGTGTGTTTGTGTGTGTGTGTCTCTGCAAATTTCTCTGCATCTTTCTTTCAAAGAAACTTGCATACCACTGCTGAATTTAATTAATCTAGTGCTATTGACAAAGTAAGAAGAATCAAAATGCCTATAAAGCGAGGACATATATACCTATTAAACTTTTAAGAAGCTGTAATGTTTGGAGACTGTGCTGAAAGATGTGGCTCTGGCAGATTCTGCTGGGAACTGATCTGGTTGAAGAATGGAAAGGAAAATTTATGGACTTCTGGCTAAATGTCCTACATAAAATTAATTTGAAAACTAATCCCATTATTTTGCTTGAAATTTCATTTCCAGACATATGTTCACATATGTCTGGAGTAAAACTGAAAGCATTTTTCAGAAATTGTTAGATCATTAAAGTTCTCGTATCCCATTTGGTAAAGGCATATAAAATAGAGGCAGCACAGATTGATAGAACTCAAGAGTATTTGAAGTGCATATGCCCATTTCGATGGGAAAACGTTCATGCTATATACCACACCAAAATTCAGCCTCTGCATTCTGTAGCTCATGAGAATTCAGGGACCCACAGACAGTTTCTGTTCCATCCGTAGGTAATATCTCCAAAACCTAAGACTTGAAGCCCAATTCTAATATTGTCTTCTATGATTTTTTTAAAAAAAGGGTTTTCCCTGTTTCTGAAACAAAGCATGTGTTTGTTAGAACTCATTCAGATAGCTTAATAAGCATTATACATGGAAATATTATACAGAGAAATTCTATAACCCATATTTTCTGGAGTGTGTGTGTGAATGAGGCAATTTTGTGGGAAAATAGACTTATTAAGTGTCTTGCATTTCCAGAAGACTGCAGTAATTGCTAAAATATTACATTTAGTTTTGAAAAACAAAGCATATTTACCATATGCTTCTTGAGGGATAAAGTATGTTGAAAGATATTTCTCTCTCTAAGTAGCAGATGCTTTGAAATTTATTAATGGATTTAGTTTCCAGCCACAAAGTGGACCTTTTGATTAGGTAGTGATTGGAAAGAGAAGTTGGAAACAAAGGAGAATTTGCTAATTCCACAGCATTATGTTGAATTATGGGGAGATTTGAGTTGTTCAGTTGTTCAGTAAATACTGAATTTACCATTGGGGGTTATTTTAAAAATTAAGGCAGATGACTTGTTTTACCTCTACATATCTTGCCCCCAGCTCCATCTAGTACATAGATGTTTAGGATTGTTGTCTATTGTAAGTGATATGACTTCTTCTTCTTCTTCTTCTTCTTCTTCTTCTTCTTCTTCTTCTTCTTCTTCTTCTTCTTCTTCTTCTTCTTCTTCTTCTTCTTCTTCTTCTTCTTCTTCTTCTTCTTCTTCTTCTTCTTCTTCTTCTTCTTCTTCTTCTTCTTCTTCTTCTTCTTCTTCTTCTTCTTCTTCTTCTTCTTCTT